TGTTCCTCATCATTGTCTTTCTTCTCCACTGTTGCGGCACTGCCTAGCTTGTAGCGTTCTTTATTTATTTCCTTGCTACGAAGCTTTCTGTTGCCTCCCTCTGTGGTACTTGATTAATAAACTCAATGCATACAAAATTAGCATTTAAAGGCACTTGTGGCCACCTATAACTCTGAAAATTTTAGAATTTACCGATCGCTTGTTTTATCCTTTATTTTGCAAAAGTATATATTGATGCACATATTATAGCATAATGGTATCTTCAATCACATTTTCCAGAATCTGAATTACCTACCGAGATCTTCCATCTAAGGTGGTGTCTTGATTCTGAAACATGGTTCCATGGGGAGGGCTTTTCCAGTCTTCGTGGGAACTGTTTCGAATAATGTTGTTCAGGAAGGGCTCTCTTCCTCACTTCAGTAAAAAAAAAGAAAAAAGAAAAGAGAAAAAGAAATCTCTTTCTCCTCTAGTTTGCTCCATTGTGTGGTCCACAAAATGTATCGGAATGGGTTTAAAAAGAAAGGGGAACATTTTCATTCTGGACCAAATTTTGGAAGAGAAGCCAAACATCAAAATCCTTACAATAGTTATTTGAACTTTATATTTTTTTGATATTGAATATTTTTAATGGTCAGTGTATGAGTGCTTCCATCATACTTCCTATTAGGGACCTTCTGGCAAGCAAGAATCTGTTGCGCCTAACCTGATCTACCTTGAAACGTGTGCTCTCTGTCTTTACATTATTAACTCTGCATGCTTTTGCAGTGTTGCTCTATATAGTTGAGGAGCCCATTCGAAGTGCATATCTTATGCTAGTCCGGTGTTGGGTTTCCGAAGTTGCACAAATTCGATTTTACAAAATATAGTTTTCTTTTTCATTCTCAGCTTTTGTTGTTTTAGAAAACTTGCTAGGTAATGCTCCGTATGATAATTTGTCTCCTTCTGGGAAGACCAGAATGGCTTCGCAAGAAAATGTTGTGTTCTGTTTATGAGCCTGATGTAAGCAATTTGTGTAGGTTTCTCAAGACATAGCTGATATGCCTTTTCATTTCTTTTGAAGTGTTGAAGAAAGAAGAAGAGAAAAGAATATTGAGTGGTACTGGACTTCAGAAAAGCTCAGGTCAGTTATTGCTTTTATCCTCTGTCAGTAATTGATACCACAATGTTTTTCATCATTTCATGTACGGAGTTTTTCTTTCGCATTTTGTTGAAACATGAAATTGGATTTGTGGTCTTTGTATTCTAACCTTCTTCCCAAAATACGCTCTGTGAATGTACTTGGAAAGGGTTATAGGGGTTTGAGAACTGTGTTTTGGAGGCAAAACCTAAAACAATGAGTCAACTTCCCTTTTTTTTTTAGCAAGTATATTTAATATATATGGAAGCATCTTTTTTATCTCGTTCTTATATGTGTGGAGAGACTTGAAAAACTAATTTTGTAAAGTGCTTCTTACTTTTAACGGTATGTTTCATTTGGTTTTTATTTGCCTCATGGCCTTTGGGACAAAATTTTCTTATTTTTGTAGGATTCCACTACTAGATGTGCCCTATGATTCCTTTTTGTTATCCTCTAAGCACTTCTTTATGCAAACTGAAAATCTACATGTGGTTTTCTTATAAATAGATCTAAAGTTTTCATGTTGACTATACTCATTTTTCATATGGACATGGTTTCTATGAGTCCATATAGAAATGATTCCCCTCTTAAAAATCTATTTTTGAGATGGATTTTTGGACCCTATTTTTAATAACATATAATCTCTAAGATGGAGATCATGAATATGAAAAAATAAATAAAAATAGTAATTTTATAAAGAGAAAAATTGAACTGTTAGTTTCAACTGTTTTTAGTTGGACCACCTATTCGCATCGATATTTAAGATGGATGCTTTATACCTCGGGGAGCACAAAGGTAGAAATGCGTCCCTCGACACATGAAAGAATTTTTCCTCCTATAAGCAAAATGAAACACATACGCAACAATACACACACACATACGGATGCATGTGAGGATGGACCAAATGAAACACACACGTACATACACACACACACACATGCATGCACACATTCAGATAGATGGGGTTATTCTAGGCTACGCCATTTTAATATTGAACTTCAATTTCCTGGTCGAAAATTTTTTTACTATAAAATGACGTTATATGTTCAAAAATGGCTTTTGACTAAACTGTTCATGTAGTTTACGAAGGGTACTTTTGTCATTTCAAAACTCCCCCCAGTTTCAAATTTACAAAGATTTCTTTGACTTTTTGGATCAGGTGTGATTGTAAAGTAATTTTAATTTACAAATATGCCGTTTTCAAATTTTTCAAACAAGTTGTTGCTAATGTAATTCATAGATATGTAAGGACATTTTTGTGGTAAAATCCACCCCCCCACCCCCCCACAAAAAAAGAAGAAGAAATGCTGTGTTTCCACTATCGTTGTGTGTGTGTGTGAGAGAGAGAGATTGGGGGCTGGAGGCTTCAAGAAATAGTGGAATGCAGAAACTTAAATGTTTAAAAATTATTCCTTCAAATGATGAAACTTACCCCTTCGTACGACCCTAGATTGGATGGCTGGATTAAACGATTCTAAGGATTTGAATGAAGAAAGTAGGGAACTTTCACATGCCTCCCCTATTTCATTTTGGGTTTACATAATGGAATATTACTGGATCTTCTCTTAGTGCCTAACTTTGTAATTTATCTTCGATATGATGTTACTAGGAAAATGATTAACTGGTTCATGGGCCATACTAAGTGAAGGATTAAAAGGACATAAATTCCTTTGCAACAAAGAGTATACCAGACAAAGAAATACCGATCTAATAAAGAACGAGTATGATGTCCCTGCTGTCTGTTGTACACTCAAGACCATAGTGTTTCTTAATCTGAATGTCACTCTTGAAATTGTGTATGTCCTTAATTGTATAACTTTTTTTGTTTAATGGTTTCCTGTGGTTTGGCATGTAAATTTGAACTCCAATGCTAATCCAGCGTGCTTATATACCGTAAGTCCACAAAAGTAAAAATAGTAAAACATTACATTAAAAAAAATTTGAACTGACCAAGAATTGTAGTCTCGAGTCCCATGCCAAAGGATATAATAAAATCTTCAAGTACTTGTGATTTGTCATACATACAGGGCTATTGTTGATGTTACATTGTCTAAGTAGCATTTGCAGGAGACATGGATAATTGCGAAGTTTGGTTCCATGGTATATCATTTTTAAAATGAGCATTTTAACTTTAGAGTAACTTGAGGATATAACCTCCAAGTGTCTCCACTCTCTTCAACAGGTAAAATTGATGCTCCGGACCTAAAAAGTTTCATTCAGCAGTTTCGAGATGCTTCTTTTGAACAAACAGAAGGTATAATATTTTTTTTACCAGATTTCATCTCTAGTTCCGGTTTTAGTTTTATTAGCGTTTTATATTTGAGTTTCTTTAGGCTGTCATTATAGATTGGACGCAAAATTCTTTCATAGATATATCAGATCATAAGAATAATTTTTTGTTATGTCAAGTGACTCAGTCATTCATTTCCATAGATGCTGTGAAATTCCTCTGCTTATTTCTAAATTCTCTATTTGGTGAAATATTACTGAACACATTTTTTGAAAATTCTAAAAGTATGATGTTTGTATCTTTGTTGATATGTGTGATTGGTGTACTTGAAATTTTTTATTTGTTATTTTGTTGGTTCCTTTATTTTATTTTCAGGAAATAAGTTTTATGCGTTTAAGTATGTATCTGATGTTTATACGTCTTTTTCCTTTGAAGGTAATGAATCTGAGACAATAACAGATGATTCAGATGAAATGGACAGAGACCCCAGCACAATCAGGTATGTATGATATGCCATGTCTAGATAAATTGAAGTTTAACGGTACTAAGTTTGTGTATGTATTCAACCATAATCAACTGGATCCCACCTCCACCAACCCCTCCCCCATGCCGCACTGCCATCACCCTCTCACCCTCATCCTCTTTGTGTTAAAAGAACCCCACATCCATAGACGTGAACATAGGAGATACTTTGAAAACCAATGCCTCAGTAATTGCTCAGGCATGTCATCATGGAAAATGCTTCCTAGTTATCCATAATCATTGTCTCATCTACTCTATCTGAGCTAAAGAGAGATTATATCATAGAGACATGTTTGTGCAAGTATTTGATGTAATCTACTTGTATTTTGAATTGGAGTATCAGATGCATGTCTGTTGATGTGTTTGTTGCTAGTTGGATCTTGCTTTGTAATTCCATACTATTGCGGCAATGTATATTTCATATTATGCTAATGGTGTGTGGGGTGTGTTTGTATGTTTTACAAATGATATAACAATCAATTTAATTTGGCTACAAGATGTGCTTACCAGTTCAGGCCCAGAATTGGGAGTTTTGACATTGCTCATTCCTTTTGTAATTTGCTCCATCCTGATGTTGGAGGCTATGACTGGGTCACGAGTAAGATTTTAAAATTTTTGAGCACCTTTCATTAAAACCCTTGTAACTCCCTAGTCTTTTACGTGCCTCTAATGAAATTTTATTGAGTGAAATTAGACTCAAAAGCATAGAAGAAAAGCAAGATTTTCCTCGGGAAAAATTGCTGCCACATTGCTAAGTTGGTGCTCAAAAAACAGGAAAATCAGCAAATCATGTACCTGGAAGTTGACCTAGAATTACCTTCTAGGTTTTGTTACACTCCATACGATCTCCCGGATCAATGGTGCAGCATGTAGGATGCTAATTCAACCTCTTTTTACCCTGTTTAGGCTAGGTGTCAAAGAATTGGGAGTTTTGATCTCAGGGTTTTCCGCTTCTTTACTTAGATCTCTTTATAGCTGTTGGAAGCGCTTGAGATTCGAAAACATTTTAGGAATCAGATGCATGGAATCGTGGGCGGCTAAAAGATTCTTATTGTAGGAAGCGTCATATGTACAATGCATATCATAGGAATTGAGATTCGTACTTTTTGGGAATCGTGTTCTAACCCATTGGAATTGAGATTCCTATCTTTAGGAGATTCCCATCTTTTTGGAATTGTGCACCCAACCACCTGGAACTACGTCAAAAATCATCAAGAAATGAGTTTCATAATCCTTTTAGAACCTTCCACTTGAACCAAATCGTACCTCATAATCAGTGCTTTATTGGGTCTACACTACACATGGCTTGCCCACCTAGCCTATTTTCCCTCATCTTATCGCCTATTGAAGCCACACCTAAGTTCTTTCGAATGTCTTCACTTCGGATTCTCATTTCTTGTCTTGTTATTTATCCATCTCAACATCTCAGCTACACTCATCCTATGGGTGTGTTATTTTTGGCTGCCCAATATCCCATTCTATAAAGCAAAGCTGGTCTCCTAGTTGTCCTATAGAACTTCCCTTTTAGCTTCATTGGTACGCAACGATCACATAAAACTCTGGATGCACATCTCCACTTCGTCCACTCAAGTCTAATTCTATATGTGATATGTTCCTCAATCTCTCCATTTCTTGGTTTATTGACCCAAGGTATTGAAAGTACTCTCTTTTAGGTATTTCTTGGCCATCAGTTTTAACTACTTCTTTGTCTCTACTCCTATTATTACTGTTAAAGACAATGCGGATGCTTCCTTGGTAATGCCTAAACCTTAGACAGCCAAAGGAACTAGGGAACTAGTGAACCTCACTACCGAGATAATTTATCATCATACATGTCGGCCACTAACCCATACCTTGCTTTCCCAACATCCCCCCTCCCCCCTCCCCCCTCCCCCCAATAAAAAAAAAAAAAAGCACTACGCTCAATCCTCCTTGTAGGTGGTCTATGCAGAGATTGGCCCAGCCCTCGAATTCCCTCAAACAAAGCTTCTCGTATAGAACATTAAATGGGTCTCATGCGAAAAGAAATGTTGTTTAAGCCCTAGTTCATAACTGCAAAACCCAAATGTACTAAATCTAATCGAAACCAAATTACCTGCCCCCTCACTTTCCTCAGCAAGAGAGGTATCTTAGTGGCTTCTTAAGGATTCCCTTGGAGCTCCGGAGGTGTCTGGGTCTTATGGGACCCGCCCTCTGATGACCTCCTATATTCCATTAGTAAGGGCTTATGTTGTTTTAAAAAATGCTTGCGATATGTTTCCTTTGGAAAGTCTCTCTTGTATATGGCCCAATCTGCCCTAAAGGAGCGCAACAGGTGGGTATTTGAATCAAGATCCACCAGGAGGGAGCATATTTTGAAACGAGTTATCTTACATGTTCAGGCTCTTGCATAGACTAAATAGTGGTCTTTTCACTTATCCGAATGGAATGGGCCATCTTTGAGAATTTGCAAATAAGTTGGCGTCAGTAGAGGACTGCTCCACTCATTCCAGTGGCGTGGTCATTTCCTGAGGTTCGACATTACAAGCTTAATATTGATAGGGCTTCTTTGGGAAATCTAGGTTTAGCAGGTGGTGGTGTGGTCATCCGGGACTCAACTGGTGGCTTCATCGTTGCTTTTTCTAAACACTTTGGTGTTGCTTTTAATAATATGCTGAATTCTTGGCCCTTGTAGAAGGCATTCAAGAGGCTCATCAGAGAAATTTCTTTCCGTTACAGATAGAAAGTGATTCGGCCCTGCCAGTTAATGTTATTAGGAATTGATGCCATGCTCTGTAACGGTTACAGACGATTGTTAATAATTGCCTCACCAAACTCTTTACTCATTAGTAATAAAGAAACTTTCCTTTTTATATAGTAATACCATGTTAACATTATAAAAAAAAAAAAAATTCTTTACTCATCGTTGGTCCATTGCGCATGTTTACCGTTAGGGGAATATGGTTGTTGATGCTCTTGCCAAGAGGATTGCTGCTACTACTGGCGCTACAGTATGGCGTCATCGCCCACTAGATTTCTTAACTCTGTTTTTTCATGATTTGTCACAATTTCCCTACTATAGGGTTGTAAGATGAATGTTCTTTATTTTCTTTAATTAATGAAAAATTGGGTAGGGGGCCTTCTCCCCCACTGACTTATCGAAAAAAAAATCTGCCCTAAAGGTTGGTGAAGCCTCAACCCTGAATTGAAATCTGAGGCGCCCAATTGTCCTTAACTGTTTGTATTAGGTGGGGAATACATTGTCAATAGGTGGGTCTAGGGGAAAGAAGCACCACAAGTATGAGGGGCCTTCTTGGACTTCATGGACCAAAGTTGCTCGAATGCCATCCCTTCGACTGAAGTGAGATTCAGTTGGCTAAACCATCTTGCTAACCATAGTTACCCAAATCTCTCATCAAAGGTCGTGATTCCAATTCCGAACCTCGATTTGGTGATTTTGACTTGGAATCTTCATGGAACCTGTTTTCATGAAGTCTAGGATCTCAATTCCTTATTTTAGGAATCTCAATTCCAACAATTATAGAACTTGTTTCCAATATTTACTTATTCTCAGTTCAACAATAGGTGAATATCGATTCTACACATGTTGACACTAGTTTCCACATTTACCGGAATTCTACCACTCTCCTTATTTTCTTTTCTTTTTGTTTTGTTTTGAGAAGTGATGTTTAGAAGTTTTCAAGGCATCACACTACTCTAGCTAGACACTCAAAACTCAACCTACAAGTTGTAGTCATCTTTTCTGGCATGAAATGACTAATAGAAACTGAAGTAATGGTCCACATTCTGTACTTAATTATTTAAGTATACAGTGTATTATCTAATAGAGAGATTGCAACTCCAAGACGTTAGAATTAGTGTATTATGAATATTATTAATGTGCATATATGGCATGTCGATTAATGAATGACATTGAGACATGTATGGTTGCCTTCTCAGTTCCCTCTCAAGTTTAAAGATGTTGGAATCTTGATTCTATAAATGAAGGAATCTCGATTTCATATTGGTCGATTCCAATTAAGTTGGAAAATCAATTCCAAACAGCTAGGAATCTCGAACCATCTATATACGGATCTTGATTCTATTTTGGTCGAATCTCAATTCCTAAAAATACAAATCTCGTCCTCCATGATTGTTCTTGTACGGATGTTGATTATGAAAACAAGAATCTTCCAGCCGGCGGTAATTCCGTGCTTCCAATTTCTAAATTGATCAGTTTCCGAATTGCTTCGTGTAACTATACTGCAGACCTTCTCACCAAGATAGATTGTTTCCTAGTGTCAACCAACCAGGAATCTAAATCCCTTGGAACCATCTCTTATGCTCTCCCAAAGGCAATCTCTAGTCACAAACTAGTACTACTCGACATAAAACCCATAGCTGGATCTAATAGCCCTTTCAGATTCGGATTACATTAGTTTAAGGAAGTAGAGTTCTCACAGAAAATCCGTCTTTGGTAGTCCTATTATAATGTGCAAGGGTGGGCTGGTTTCTGGCATACCGTGAAACTCCAACTCCTTAAAGTCTCCCTCAAATAGTGGAATAAAACCTTGCCAAGCAACTTTAAAAGTCTAATCCAATCCCACAATATTAAAATTCAAGCTTTGGAGAACACATTAGAAGCCAGACGACTATTGGAGCTTCAATGTACTGAGGGAGCAATCGCTAGAGCAAGTCTTTTAATTGCCCTTAAGCAAGAAGAAACATATCGGCTTCAGAGATATAGGATGAAGTGGGCAAAGGTAGGAGACAGGAATACTGCTTTCTTCCACGAAATAACTTGCGCTAGATGGAAAGGTAACTTTATGACCCAAATCTCTATGGAAAACTGTGCTTACACACAACTGCAACTTGCGAAAAGAAAAATCATTAGGTATTTCCTGTCTCTTTTCTCCTAAACAGAGGGCTCTAGATCTCGACTAAAAGATCTGTCCGTCAATTCCCTCCCATATCAGGATTTCATATGGCTCCATAGAC